TCTCTCTCTCTCTCTCTCTCTCTCTCTCTCTCTCCCTGATTTACTTTATTAACCTGATATTAATTTTTATCCCAAACAGATCTCAAACATAATCGCAAGGATTGGTTGCCATAGAATAGGCTTTTATTGTTGGAAACTATTTATTATAAACAGTTTTACGGGATATGAAGTAAATAATTAAATATGAGTTAAATTCTATACTAATTGCTAACATTTTTTACAGATCATTGCATTTATCGCAATATTATTTTTGAAAATATATTAATAATGATCTATTTAAAATATAAAAATAATAATTGTCATGTCTATTAAACTTTCATTAAAACAATTAAAACAAATAATTTCTTAATTCATAAACAATATTATTAATAATATTGCTATTTCTTAAAATTTAGTAAACAACATTAAAATTCAACTGCATTATGTAATTAATAAAAATATTGTTAGTGTATATAAATGTTGCTCAAATCATCACATAATTTACTATGATAAATATAATTAAATGAATATTAGTAAATGCACTATTTCTTGTAATTCATGATCAAAGGTAAAATAAGGCTTATTTAACGTTGGTGCATTGTAAACAGTCAGTAACGTCAATTAAGTGCATTAAGCTCAGACGGTATGCATTGATGTTATTTAATAAAACATCCCTTATTAAATGTTTATGGTCATAACAGTTTGCATTAATTAATACTGTGTGCACTAGTGCTAATTTAGTATTTATCTGTATTTGTACTGTATCTGTACTATAGATTATTTTTTAACACACTTTATTAAATTAAAATATGATATTGATAAAACATACATTAGAAATGTAGACTATAAATACCATGATTCGATAGTAAGTTCTTCATAACTAATTTCAGTTAACTGTAAATCATTAGAAATTTTATAATTGTATTAAATTTTTATAAATTTTTAATAATTTGTTTTTAAAAATATTATTTGTTTATATCGTTGTATTAATTATGGATTATATAACAATATTAGCCGTATTTGTGACTGCAATTACAGCAATAGGAATGTATGTTCAAAATTTTACTCATAATATTTTTAAATTTTTAATATTACAATTTAATTATTAATTATAATTAAATTACGATGATTAATAAAACAGATATTTAAGACATCGGTTTACGTATTGGACGCGTAACGGTGTACCAAGCAACAATTATATTGACCTAAATCAGCTGAGCAAACCTGCTCACTTGGGCGATATGGAAATGTTTAAAAAATTTGGCCGCATATTTGGCATGTACACATTTACAGACAAAATGATCGCGATTAACGAGCCCGATTTGCTCAGGGACATATTAGTCAAGGATTTTAATATATTTCCCGACCATACTAAATTCCACATGGGCACAACCAAACTAGATAAAAGTTTATTTTTCATGCCCGGCAACGATGACTGGAAACGGCAACGATCTATACTATCGCCGGTGTTTACATCGGGTAAACTCCGGGCAATGATGGCACACATCGACAATATTTCAGATCGATTTATCGCTAATTTGGTTCAATTTGAAAAACAAGGTAAATATTTTAAGCAGATTTTAATTTATGAGTATAAACTGTAGTGTTTTAGTAAAATGTGTTGAATGTACATATTATAAATAAACCTTAATAAAGTATGGGAGATGAGACAGACTATCTTTATAGTTAATCTATATCATTTTATGATAAGCAATGTATATTTGTTACACATTAATATGCATAATTTCTCTTTTTTATGCACTCAATGTTTACTAATATAAACTGTAATTATACTCTCAAATGATTAAAATAAGAATAAGTTAAATTTTACATAAATATATATTGGATCGCCTTAAAGAATGGGTCAATTAATGTTATATAATTTTTAACAAGTTTAAAGATTTTATTTTGATTGTGCATATTGTATATTTACATTTAACTTGACAAATATAATATTTAGGCCAACCGATAGATATGCGCAAACATGTCGGTGCGTTTGCAATGGACGTGATCTCGTGCTGTGGGTATGGCATAGACGTCGAGTCTATTAATAATCCCAATCATCCCATTGTATTAAATGCCCGCAAAATACTGAGCACTGACGTGGGTTTGGGAATGATATTGTCGGGAATGTTCCCGGCGTTGGCTAAACTGGTTGGAGCCGAACCCTTTGATATAAAAGCATGTAGATACTTTGATGAATTAACCAATAAAATCATCGAGGAGAGAAAGAAGCATAATAAATATGCCCTTAATAATGACAAAGGTGAGTTTGTTAAAATAAATTTAATAATGTAAAACAAAATGAAATTATATTAATTTATTTATAATAATACATATTTTTGTTTTATATATCTATAGCCAAACGACGCACAGATTTTATACAACTAATGATAGACTCGGAAAAGTCGGACAAAGACTTGGGTTACGACTCCATCAGGGATGCGGAGCCGGACGAATCGGTCGGTAATAGCCCTATGGTAAAAACATCGGGCAAACTCACCATCGATGAGATGGTAGCGCAGGGAATACTGTTTTTTATCGCCGGTTATGACACTACCAGCGCTGCCCTAACCCATACCCTCTACTTTCTGTCCAAACACCCGGACTCTCAGCAACGGCTGTACAAAGAGTTGCAAACTTGCGATGAGTTTACGTACGAAAACTTATTGCAAATGAAATACTTAAGCGGCGTAATCCATGAGACACTACGACTCGCGCCATCATTTCTGAAGTTGTTTCGCATTTGTGTCAAAGACTATAAACTGGGAAATACCGGTACGTAAATAATAATTTCACTAAAAATTACTAATTAGTTAAATTATGACTTTAATACTACAAATACTATTAGCATTTAGGACTTTACAATTATACAATATGCTTAATACAAATTATATAACTTACTATAAAATACATGATCATTAGAATTTAATTTATAATGATTTTTATTATGATATAAAGGCATTACTATACCTGCGGGCGCTTACGTTACGGCCAACATCTATGCCCTTCAAAGGGACCCAAAATTCTGGCCAAATCCGGAAGAGTTTCAGCCCGAGCGCTGGTTTGAGCCCAAACACCATCCGTACGCTTACCTGCCGTTTGGTTCCGGACCCCGACTATGCATTGGACAACGGTTTGCCATAAATGAATTGCAAATGTGCCTGGCCAAAATGGTACGCCGGTTTGAATTTAGCATGGTGCCCGGTTTTAAAATAGAATATTTTAATGGCACACCGGCCATGTCACCTAAAAAACTAATGTGTCACATTAAATTACGCCAATAATTTGGTATCAATATATAAATAATTTAGATATCATTATAAAATAATTAGTTATATTACGTTTAGTTATTTATTATTACATGTAATTTTACGTATATGAAATGACTGGTATTGATTTTATAATGTCACTTAATTTTAACATTCTAAATTAAATTTATAACAATTATTTAATAAAAGTAACACTTAAATATGGTATTTGAAATATTGAAATATCACATAAATATTCATTTATTAACATCAGTTTAGTTAATTTAAACATTTAATTCGCTTATATTATAAATTATTACATTTTGGTAAAAATCCATTTTTATTGTTTTTTGTTTATCAATAAATATAAATAAACTAATAAATACATTTCATAATAATTTAAAAATTCTTTAAGTATGTTAAAATTCTTTTTTGTTTAATGTTTATAAGTTTTAACGATTGTTACAGATCTCAATTACCTCAATTTATTAGATTATGCAAAACAAATCAATTATTAATTATTTATTGTCAAGGTGTTATGATAATTTAAACTGTAATAATATCATAAAGTAATTAAACGATCAATATAATAAATTAAAAAGATATATGCATTGGGATTGACGCAAAAGTTGTTTATATAATTTTATAACAATTTAATAAATAATGTTTATATTATAATATATTTGTTGTAATATGGTAACTTTTGATGTATTTATTTTAAATAAACTGTAGTTGTGTTGTGAAATAATTAAATAACAATACGATATGCCTAAAGATTACATTCTTGGAATAAAAATTTTTTTATAATTAGTTATATTGAAATGAATCAGATATTATACATTATACAAGAATGTCAATCATGTTTTATAACAATAGTAATGCGATACTTTAATTTAACATTGTTTTATAATTATGTATAACTCATTTGTAAATCGCATTATTATGAATTTGCCTTTACTTACAATCTCTTATATTAATAAACTGTGATTAAGATTGTAATACATTTTACTTTATATAAACATATATAAATAATTAAAAATAAATCGAAAATATTAAAAATAAATTTTAGTCAAATTATAATATAATGTAATAACAATATTGTCTTTTATGTTATAAACTGTAGCTTTACTGTCAAATAAAAAATATTAATATGGTTAATTTTAATTATCTATATTTTGGCGATATTCACAAATGGCATATAATGACCATATTATTAATTCTAAATACAATTGACTTAGATTTTATTAATTACAAATATTTTTGCACAACTACTTTATTTATAAATATTTAAATACTATTTTATATTTAAATTGATTTAAAACTAAAACACGTTAATTTGAAAATTAAAAGCTAACTCTTAATACAAATTTTGCAAAATTATTTTTAAATATTAATGAGAATTATTAATCACATTAATTATAAAATTTATACTTGGTACATTTGTTTAAAAATTATAACAAAAATTTTAATAAATTATATTTAATACGCAATGCTTAACACTAAACTAATAATAAAACTAAAACTTAATTAAACTTTAATTATTAACTTTTTAAAAATATCACAGCATAAAATTAAAATTATACTAGTTAAGTGGAAACTCATAAAAATGTTAATAATTTTAAAATTATATTTAAGAAATCTTCAAATCTCGGTGAGCCCAGTAATTTATATAAAACAAAGTTTAACATTAATAATTATATATTTACCTAAAATATTACAGTCTTAAATTAGATAAATCTATATTAATGGTAAATTAAGAAATATAATTCATTAACATAGTAAGTCAAGTAATTTGTGCAGTTACAAAATATTTTTAATTAATATCTTTACAAATAAAATTGTTGATTATTTTAAATGTTGTTGACATGAAAATATTAAAATAAAATAATTATCACAATTCTGAAAATAAATTAAACAATAAAGTATGCAATCAAAAAATTTTATATAAAATTTTTCATGTGAAAAGGATGTTTTAATAATTATGCTGCATTAATGTTTACAGCGATTTAGTGCATTAGGCTCATACTGGTATAGCACTTGTATATAAACAAAAAATTGTTCAAGGTCAATTTTAGATCCTTGAATTCTGGGGTTTCTTATGTCTGATAGTAATTGTGTTTTGTTATCAATGTTATAGCATTATTCTTACAATTTAGGGTTGTTTATTACACATGCTCACAGCTAACATTTGCTATAACCATTGCTAGTAAGCTATAAATTACCCAAATTATTCTTAATGCAGTTAGGGTAATTTCATATTTATATTTATCAAAATATGATATCTTATCATATATTTTATTGTTAAAAAGATTGCAACTATATTTATAAAATGTTTATAAACCGTTGTAAGTTTTATAAATGCTTTGCTAATTGAATGCTAAAATTTAGTTTAGTCTTATGAGAAATTCAAATTTATAAAATTAAAGTGATTGTGTTATTACAATATTATTATTCAAACTATGTTATTAATATATTCTATTTAATAAATATTTGTTTAATAAATATAAAAAGTTATTTATAAAATTATGGATAGCATAACAATTTTGTCGATAATTGTGTCCACAATCACAGCACTGGGAATGTAAGTATTGCATAAACCTTTTAAAATTTATAAAACGTTATTTTGTTATTTTAATTTTCTTACATAATTAATTTTATCTAACAATATTACAACATTTTATGTAATAACAATCATAAATAAGTAACCTCTATTTATAAAATAGATATATGAGACATCGTTTTACCTATTGGAAGCGACAGGGTGTACCAGGCTATAATTATGTTGACCTTAGGGCAATTGGCAGACCTGCCCACCAATACGATGTCGAAATGTCTAAAAAGTTTGGCCGTATATTTGGCGGTTATTCATTTACGGGCAAAATGATCATGGTCAACGAACCCGATTTGCTCAGGAACATTATGGTAAAAGATTTTCACATATTCCCCGACCACCTAGGTTTCCATATGGGCACTACTAAAATGGACAAGAGCCTATTTTTCATGCCCGGCGATGAGGACTGGAAACGTGTGCGCTCTATACTGTCCCCCGTGTTTACATCGGGTAAACTCCGGGCAATGATGGCACACATCGACAATATTTCAGATCGATTTATTGACAACTTGGTTCAATTAGAGAAACAAGGTAAAATAATGTTTTATGTGATAGAGTTATCTGTTTTAAACTGTAATTTTATCGAGTTAACTTATATAATTATATATAGAGTATGTAATAAATAACTAAATGGTTTGGGGGCGAGAGCCGAATACTTTATTTTTACATAAATTATGAATAGATATATGAAGAATGTTATTAACATTAATTTTGAGCTTTTAATAAATACAGTGTTACAGATTTTTAACACTGTAATTACACTACAATGTAATTAAAAATGTTAATTTATTCAGGTGAGCCAATAGATATGCGCAAACATGTCGGTGCGTTCGCAATGGACGTGATCTCGCGCTGTGGGTATGGCATAGATGTCGAGTCTATTAATAATCCCAATCATCCCATTGTCATAAATGCGCGCAACATATTGAGCACTGACGCAAAAATAGGCGCCGTATTGTCGGGAATGTTCCCGGCGTTGGCCAAACTGGTTGGAGCCGAACCCTTTGATATTGACTCATGTAGATACTTTGATGAATTAACCAATAAAATCATCGATGAGAGAAAGAAACATAATAAAAATGTTATTAACAATGATAAAGGTACATTTTTCAAAACATTAATAAATGTATAATTTTAATCATTTTAAACAAATACTATTTTTTATATTACAACACATTAGCCAAACGGCGTACAGATTTTATACAACTAATGTTAGACTCGGAAAAGTTGGACAACGATTTAGACGACGACTCCATCAGCGATGGACAACCGGATGAGTCGGTCGGCGATAAACCTATGGTAAAAACATCGGGCAAACTAACCATCGATGAGATGGTAGCGCAGGGAATGCTGTTTTTCGTCGCCGGTTATGACACTACCAGCGCTGCCCTAACCCACGCCCTGTACTACTTGTCTGAACACAAAGACTGTCAGCAAATACTATACGAAGAGTTGCGAAGTTGTGATGAGTTTACGTACGAAAAGTTATCGCAATTGAAATACTTGAATGGCGTAATCCATGAGACACTAAGACTCAGGCCATCGTTTTTGAAAATATTTCGCACGTGTGTTCAGGATTATAAACTGGGAAATACTGGTACACAAAATTATAATTACTATCCTAGTTATTAAATATAATGAATTTTATAATTATTATTTAAGGCATTACAATACCTTCGGGTACATTCATGATGGCCAATACCTATACTTTACACCGGGATCCCAAATACTGGCCCAACCCAGATAAGTTTGATCCCGAGCACTGGTTTGAGCCCAAACACCATCCATACGCATACTTACCCTTCGGCGCCGGACCCCGACTATGCATTGGACAACGGTTTGCCATAAATGAAATGCAAATGTGCCTAGCTAAAATGATACGCCGGTTTGAGTTTAGCATGGTGCCCGGTTTTGAAATTGAATACTTTTTTGGTCAACCAGCCATGTCACCTAAAAAACTAATGTGTCACATAAAGTTACGCCAATAATTTGACATAATTTTACATATTAATAATGATAATTTTATTCTAAAATATTAATTTATGTAATATTTAACTATTTATTATCAAATTAAATTATACTTATATAAAATGTTTTTATATTAATTTGTAATAAATAAACAAAATCTAATAGTCTCTATAATTATTTACCAAATATCTAACAACAAACATTTAAAATAGTTTATTGCAGCAAACGTGATTGTGTTAATAAATATATAATTATGCTGTTATTTATATGTGTAAATAATTTATAAATTCATTTTTGTTAAAATGTTATATTACAAAAATGTTATTAAAAATTGCCATAAATATTTAACATATTGGCACGATTCTCTTTCCCCAATAAATATACTTAAAACTTACTTTAACAGTTATACTTATTAAATTTTTAATAATATTACAGTTTTTAATTGAACAAACATTATTTATTATAAACAAATCTAATAATAATCTTTATCATTCTGAAAATTTAAATAAATTTTACAGTTACAAAATATTTTCTCATATAATAAGTAAAAATCATAATGATTGAAATTTTAATATAAATAAATATAAACCAAATATAGTAATAAATCATGCAATGAAAAATAATTTACACTAAGAACTAAATTAATAATATTAAAACTGATGCTGCAATAATATAATTATGGTTGAGTTTGTTTAGTACTTTAAGCTCATACAATGTGCATAAATACAAATCATGTATAACTACAACAGAATACTTTAATCATACAACTGATCAAGGTCAGATATACGGCTTAAGACATTTAACTTCTGGGGTTTCTTTTGTATGTAGGCATTTATTTTTGTTATCAATGATGTACTATTAATACTGTATTTTAGTGTTATGCATTAACCATAATCAAACTAACATTTACTATTTATATAATATTAATATTTTTATAAATGGCAAGCAGTAAATACCCTGTTTTATGCTCAAAGTACTTGGAGTAATTTCATGCTCATTTTTATCATGTATTTTATTAATTAAAAGCATTATAAGTGGTTTATAAAGTAGTATATAAGCGATTGTAGATTTCACTTGGTTATAACAAATGTTAAAAATTTACTTTAATAATTAAGTAATTGAAACATTATAAAATAACGTTATTGCGTTAAAAATATTAAAACTGTGTGTTAATTATTATTATTATTAAAAAAATATACAAAAGTAGAGATTTATTATGGATGGCATAACTTTATTGTCTGTTTTAGTAGTTGTAATCACAGCACTGGGAATGTAAGTACATACTTTTAACTTTACACCGTAAAGTATATACTTTTAACTAAATTACACATTATTATTAGATAATTTTATTATACTAATCTAAAATTTACATTACCTTGTAGATATTTAAGGCGACATTTTACTTATTGGGCCAGGCAAGGAGTGCCAGGCAAAAATTACATAGATTTTAGTTTGATAGGCAAACTTACACACGAGGTAGATGAACAAAAGTTCAAAGAGTATGGTCGTATATACGGCTTTTACGCGTTTACCTACAAAATCATTTGCATCAATGAACCCGATTTGCTCCGTGACATCTTGGTTAAAGATTTTCATATATTTCCCGATCACCTAAGCTTTCACCTAGGTAGTTCAAAACTGGAAAAGAGTTTGTTTTTCATACCTGGAAATGATGATTGGAAACGGCAACGATCTATACTATCGCCAGTGTTTACATCGGGTAAACTCAGGGCAATGTTGGAACACATCAACCAGATATCAGATAAATTTATCCATAATTTGACCAAGTTTGAAAAACAAGGTAATTATTTGGTTGTATGCATAATGTGCGTTCTCTCTCCCTCTCTTTCTCTCTCTCTCTCT